TACTCCAGGTGGGTAGAAGCCGACCCAACATGGACTGAAAAGGCCTGTGAAGTGACTCGTGCTCTTTTAAGAGACATCATCCCTAGATTTGGACTGCCTTTGCGAGTAGGCTCAGACAATGGGCCTGCGTTTGTAGCTGACCTGGTGCAAAGTACAGTGAAAATGCTGGGAATAAGCTGGAAACCACATGCCGCCTACCAGCCTCAGAGTTCAGGCAAAGTGGAACAAATGAACTGAACTATTAAAAATAGCTTAGGGAAAGTGTGCCAGAAGACAGGTTTAAAGTGGATGCAGGTCCCTCCTATGGTTTTGTTTCAAATTAAACGTACACCTTCTAAAAAATCTGGATATTTCCCATATGAAATCCTAGGCCTCCCCTCATTCTCTGGGGACTCCCAGGAACTCCTTGGGAATTAGGGGAAACTAAATTACTAAATTATGTCAGCAGTTACAGGCTTTAGAAAAGGTGGCAAAAAAAAAAAAAAAAAAAGGTGTCTAAATGAGTCAATAAAAAATTCCCTGTCACCTTCTTCTCCCCAGTTCACCCTTTCCACCAGGTGACTGAGTTTGGATGAGACAAGCGAACACAGCTCCCCTATGACAGAGGTGGAAAGGACCCCAAAATGTCATTCTAACAACTCCAGCTGTCGTGAAGGCCAAGGGAGTTCCTGCGTGGATCCATCACAGCCATGTGAAACCTGCAGTACCAGACACCTGGGAAGCAAAGCCAAATCTCCATAACCCATGCAAGATCACCTTAAAAAAAAAACAGACAACAAGGCCTGCTCCAGTCACACCCTGGAAGCTGACTGATCTACACATGGCTGAAGCATGAGGACTGCCCCCATGGGACAGGTACTCCTTCTCTTTGGACTATGGACTTGTATTTTTGCTGCCCTAGTAAATGTAAACTTCCCGTCTGAGGATTGTTCCCAGTGCATACATAAGGTTACTAAGGTAAGACAAAAGGTTACCACAGACCTCTTGTTTCACAGTTATTATGAATGCACTGGAACCCTCAAAGGAACTGGTTTATATAATGCTACCCAGTGCCAGGTGTGCAGCCCAGGGAACAACCAACCTGATGTATGTTATAACCTGTTTGAACCTACCATGTCCACCATATTCGAAATAAGGCTGAGAACTGGTCTCTTCTTAGGGGATACAAGTATTTACAAAAGCTAAGGAAAAAGGAATACCTAAGTAGGTCACCATAAAATGTGATGCTTGTGCAGCTGTCAGTAGTAACAAGCAAGGGCTAGGGTGTGGCTCTCTTGGTTGAAAAAGAAGCTATATGGCAGAGCATAAATATGTCTGTCTTCTCTGGGAAATAGTCAAAAACATAGAAGAAAAAAAATACATCTGTCATGACTGATGGCCATGCAGTGGTCATGTTGTAACTATGGGTCATGTGTCATCTGGGCCACCTGAAAAAAATAAAAATAACCCAGTCCATCTCCAAAAGGGGAGGAGTAGCCCCTCCTGCACTTCTGGCTATTGTAATCCTTTAGAATTAACAATCACCAATCCTCTGAATCCTCGTTGGAGGAAAGGGAAATATGTAATAATGGAAATTAATGAAAAAGGACTGGACCCCATGGTTAACATTCTAATTCAGGGAAATATCCAGAAATAATCACCCCACCTGATGTTTCAAACTTTTAATGATGCATTGAATGAACCAGTTCCAGACCTTCCCCAGAAAGAAAGAAACTTGTTCTTTCAGTTAGCTAAGAATGCAGCCAAAACTTTAAAAGTGCATCCTTCTTATGTGTCTATGTGTGTATGAAGGTACTACTCTGGGGGACCAGTAGCCATGGGAAGCACGTGAGCTTGTGCCTGCTGACCCTGTCCCTAATGTGACCTATGTGCAAAAGGGCCTGAGTAATCACTTCTAGATCTTAAAAACCTCCATCATTGGACAATATTGTCTGACCAGAATAGGAAGGGGTATGATGGTCCCAGTGGGAAAGCTGGACTGTTTGGGACAGAAGCTATATAATGAAACCAGGAAAACAATCACTTGGTGGAGTTTAGATAGGACCAAGACCAACCCTTTCCAAAGGTTTCCCACCTTACAGGTGGCCTGGACCCACCTGGAACTCTACCGGCACTGGGTAGTGCTCCTGTCTTGTACTGGATATGTGGGCACAGGACCTACACCAAACTGCCAGACCTGTGGATGGGCAGCTATATCCTTGGCACCATCAAGCCCTCTTTCTTTCTATTACCCATAAGAACTGGGGATTTGTTAGGTTTTCCTGTCTACTCTTCATGAGGCAAGCGAAGCGTAGTTATAGGGGACTAAAAAGATGATAAATGGCCCCCTGAGAAAATAATACAATACTGTGGGCCAGCTATATGGGCAGAGGATGGCTCATGGGGCTATTGTAATCCAATCTACATGCTTAATCAAATCATTCGATTGCAAGCTGTCCTAGAAATCCTGATCAACAAAATTGGCCAGGCTCTAACTGCCCTGGCACGGCAGGATACCAAGATGAGAAATGTCATCTACCAGAACAGATTGGCTTTAGATTACCTACTGGCAGCTGAAGGAGGGGTATGTGGAAAATTCAATTTAACCGACTGTTGCCTGCAAATAGATGACCAGGCTCAGGTGGTTGAAACTATTGTAAGGGACATGACAAAACTGGTACATGTACCTGTACAGGCCTGGCATGGGTTTGGCCCTGGATCAATGTTTGGGAATTGGTTTTCTGCTATAGGAGGACTCAAGACCATTATCGTAAGTGTGTTACTGATGATAGGAGCATGCATATTGCTCCCCTGCTTAATGCCCTTGCTCCTTCAGGTAATAAAAGGATTTATTACTGCTGCGGTTCAAGAAAAAAATGTCAGCGCAGGCCTATTACATGAACTGCTACCAATCTGTCTCACCAGAAAACCCTGACAGTGGGGCTAAGGGTAAGAGTGAGAATTCTCACTTAAAAAATGGTAAGTGAGTTTCTCAAAGGAGGGAATGATTCCACTCTCTCCCCTGCCGGTTCCCGCTCATGCTGCATATGAACTAGCAAATGAATGAAGCCAAAACTTTGTAAGGTCAGATGTCCAGCCAATGGACAACAACACAGTTTCACCTCAGTTTCTCCTTTAGCGTTGTAAGCCTGTAAAAGAGGAAAGAAGCTGCTTCTTGGGCAGCTCGGTGAATGAGGCTGTAGCCCCCTGCAGCTCCCGGCTGAATAAAAAGCCACTTCCTTCCTCAGTTCAGTGTTCAAGAGGTTTGTTTCTTGCCTTTCCTCCTTCAGGTTTACAGGTGTGAGCCACCACATCTGGCTCTTTAGGATTTTCTTAATAATCTTTTCTTTTCTCTAGCTTACTTTATTGGAAGAATACAGGATATAATACCGAAAACATAAAACATATGTTTAATCGACTGTTTATGTTATTAGTAATGCTTCTGGTCAATAGTAGGCTACTAGTAATTTAGTTTTTAGTGACCCAAAAGTTACACATGGGAGGTTGATGTTCCTATCTCCCACCTTGTTCAAGGTGCATTTCTGTTGTTTAACACCCATTTTGTGGGACTTTGTTATACCAGTCCTAGCGAACTAAGACACCTGAGCTATCTAGAATTTTACTATATAACTCTTTTTTTTTTTTTTTTTTTTGAGATGGAGTCTTGCCCTGTCACCCAGGTTGGAGTGCAGTGGTGCCATCTCGGCTCACTGCAACCTCCACCTCCTGGGTTCAAGCAATTCTCCTGCCTCAGCCTCCTGAGTAGCTGGGGTTACGGATGCCTGCCACCACACCCAGCTAATTCTTGTATTTTTAGTAGAGACCAGGTTTCATTATGTTGGTCAGGCTGGTCTTGAACTCCTGACCTCAAGTAATCCACCCACCTTGACCTCCCAAAGTGCTGGGATTACAGCCGTGAGCCACTGTGCCCGGCCCTACATAACTCTTTGTACAAGTTTTTCCCCTAAAAGATCTCTGCCATCTCAGCCATGGAACACATGCTGTGAGGACATGAAGGCTTAAGGGCAGGGAAGGCTACATAATTTGTGGGACCCAGTACAAAATGAACATGGAGAACAAACTAGAAAAAAAGTGCAATACATGGTACTAAAATAGAAAGATTTTTCCTGTGAAAACAGTTTAATACTTATAAAATTCAATAAGGGGAAATAGTGATAATACATGAGTAACAACATGGGCATATCAATTGGTTGATGCTATTTTTGGTGTTATAATTTTGCCTAATATAATAAATAGCAACACCTTGTTAGTGAGATGGGGGTTCACCATGTTGGCCAGGCTGGTCTGGAGCTCCAGATAACCTCAGGTTATCCTCCTGTATTCTCAGCCTCCAAAGTGCTGGGATTACAAGTGTGAGCCTCCACGCCCAGCTGTGATGTCTTGATAGGATTTTTCTGGCTATTCCAGCTACTTTTTTTTTTGAGACAGAGTTTCGCTCTTGTTACCCAGGCTGGAGTGCAATGGCGCGATCTCGGCTCACCGCAACCTCCGCCTCCTGGGTTCAGGCAATTCTCCTGCCTCAGCCTCCTGAGTGGCTGGGATTACAGGCACACGCCACCATGCCCAGCTAATTTTTAGTATTTTTAGTAGAGATGGGGTTTCACTATGTTGACCAGGATGGTCTCGATCTCTTGACCTCGTGATCCACCCGCCTTGGCCTCCCAAAGTGCTGGGATTACAGGCTTGAGCCACCGCACCTGGCCTATTCCAGCTACTTTCAATTCACTTCAACCAATGTAGTACAGCTTTCGTCACTTGTGACTTCAGAGTCCCGGTTAATATCTTGTTGCCTTCAGGACATGCAGGATGGAAGAAGGCAGTAGGGAGCCAAGGAAAGTGAGCAGAAAATCACTTCAGAGCCACCAGGATGGCCCCCATCACTGTCCACACACAGAAGCCCTTCCCCTTCCCACAGTCGAGCAGGCCCCACCTCACTTCCAGTTGTGACTTCACAGACCACTGGGGTCACAGACCGTTGGGTTCCGTGGTACCCTGGAGTCCTGAGGCTGCTGAGTCTGAAGAATCTTCAGAAAACTGGCTTTTGCCTGCTGGTTCATGGACTAAGGCAAAGATGAGCAGAGCCCTGGCCCTCTTCTTTGCCCTCTGCTTGATCCGAGGTATATAGCTGTGGCAGCTGGAGAGAAACTTAGGCCCCACTTTGAGCCTAAGTGGGACAGAGGAGGGTGTTCCCTCCCACATTGTGGGGAACATAGACAGTCTACCTACCCTACCTTCTTTACCTTCCCAAATCTACCATTCAGGGTTTATTACTTGGGAGAAGGGAGTAACTTAAAATGTTTCCCTAATTTTGAAGCTTTCTCAGAATTCAGAGCTCCATAGGAGGGTGGCATACATGCATATTTTTAACTTTTTATTGTAAGAATTTCCAAACATATGCAAAAGTGGAAAGATTAGTATAAAGAACACCATGTGCTAATTAACCATCCTGATTTTATCTATACACACTCACTATTTAAAAAATACCAGCATTGGCTGGGTGCAGCGGCTCATGCCTGTAATCCCAGCACTTTGGGAGCCTGAGGCAGGCGAGTCACAAGATCAGGAGTTCGAGACCAGCCTGGTCAACATGGTGTAACCTCATCTCTACTAAAAATACAAAAAAACCCAACATACACACACAAAAAAACTTGGGTGTAGTGTCAGACATCTGTAATCCCAGTTACTTGGGAGGCTGAGGTAGGAGAATTGCTTGAACCTGGGAGGCAGAGGTTGCGGTGAGCCGAGATCTCACCACTGCACTCCAGCCCAGGCAATCGTGCGAGACTGTGTCTCAAAACAAAACAAAGGGCACAGTGGCCGGGTACAGTGACTCATCCTATAATGCCAGTACTTTAGGAAGCCAAGGCAGGAGGATTCCTTGAACCCAGGAGTTTGTGACAAGCCTAGGCAATGTAATGAGACCCTGTCTATACAAAAAATTAAAAGATTAGCCAGGCATGGTGGTGCCTGCTTGTGGTCCCAGCTACTATGGAGGCTGAGGTGGGAGGGCCACTTGAGCCCAAAAAGTCAAGGCTGCAGTAAGCCATGATCACACCACTGCACTCTAGCTTGGAAAACAGAGTGGGACCCTCAATCAAAAAAAAAAAAAAAAAGTAACAACTTTATAGAGATATAATATATCATAAAATTCACCCTTTGTTTTATTTTTCTACTTATTGTTATTTTTGAGACAGGGTCTCCCTCTGCCACCTGGGGCTGGAGTGAGTGGCACAATCATAGCTAATTGCAACCTCAACCTCCCAGGCCCAAGGATCCTCCCTCCAGCCTCCCAAGTAGTTGGGACCACAGGTGTGTACCACCATGCCCAGCTGATTTTTTAAGATTTTGTAGAAATAGGGATCTCACTATGTTGGCCAGACTGGTCTCGAACTCCTGGGCTCAAGTGATCCTCCTACCTTGGCCTTCCGAAGTGCTGGGATCACAGGTATGAACCACCATGGCTGGCCAAATTTACCCTTTAAAATGTGTATAATTCAGTGGTTTTTAATATACTCACAGAATTGTGAAGCACAACTAATTTTATTTAATTTTTAATTTTTTAATTTTGTGAGATGGAGTGTCACTTTCTCATCCATGCTGGAGTGCAATGGCGCTATCTTGGTTCAGTGCAACTGCTGTCTGCCAGGTTTAAGTGATTCTCCCGCCTTAGCCTCCCAAGTAGCTGGGATTACATGCACATGCCACCATGCCTGGCTAATTTTTTGTATTTTAAGTAGAGACAGGGTTTCACCATGTTGCCCAGGCTGGTCATGAACTCCTGAACTCAATGGATCCTCCTCTCTCAGCTTCCCGAGTAGCTGGGACCATAGGTGCACACGATGACACCCAGATAATTGCTTTTTATTTTTTGTAGCATTGGGAGCTCCCTATGTCCCCCAGGATGGTTTCGAACTTCTGACCTCAAGTGATCTGCCCACCTTGGCTTCCCGGAGCACTGGGATTACAGATGTGAGCCACCATACCCAGCCCGAATTTTCCTCAAGTTCAAAAAATCTTGATGAAGATTTAGCTAAAATATTTGGTGAGTCACCCGCTTCCCTGTGGAACCTCAGGTTGGATTCAAAGAGTTGTGTGCATGACTCTCATTGTCTCCCAGGTAACCTGTTCTTGCTGCTGTGAAGGGAAGGCAGGTGCTTTTCCTTGAGGCTAGAATGTTTGTCTAAGTGTCAAGAAATTAAGCAAAACATAGATGATACACACCTGAAAAAGACCCTACTGAGCATGAATAGAGCAGAGCAGCACCGTGTGGGAGCTCACTGAGACGGCAGCATCAGATGCCACCTTGCACCAGCTGCAGCACACCTGCCTCGCCAGTTTCTGCTCTGAGGCCCTGGTTGTCAGTCCTAACTGAGCATGAGAACCTCTGGGGCAATCCTCTTTTTAACAATTGAGACATTCCACACACATCCTGAATCAGATTTTGGGGTGCGGGGATAGACCTTCACATTTGTAGTTTTCTAACCCTCCAGGGGAAACCAGGCTGAAACTCACTGGTTCCTACTCTAAACCTTCCGTTGAACATGTGAGAAAACCCAAGACCCAGGGAAGCTCTCTTTAGCAGAGAGCTGAGACAGAGAAAAGGGTTCTGAACCGCAGCCATCTGTTGAAGGAAGCTGTCCAGATGCCAGTGCAGTCTCTCCCAGGGGGGCCTGAGCCTTGTGTCAGGAGTGGAGGTTGAGGGTCGCCTTAGGTGTGGGAAGGAGCCCAGGGAGAGTGACACAGTTTCTTCCCCCTGGGTCAGGAGGCATTCGGATCACAGAGCGATGCCTGCACATTCCCGGTTGCACGAGAGTAGATCTCTCGACACCCGATAGGCCTTCGTTCTGGCAGCTGTCCGTGGCAGGAGCACTGGGCTTGCTCCTCGCCATGGGAACCATCACACAGGCCTCGGGCAGTCTGCATAGACGACAGCCTGGCAGGTGACCAGGCTGGGATGAGTGAGCAGATGCGGGTAGCACTTGTGGTCCCCCCAGCTGTGCCTTCAGCACCTGCTGTCTAGGAGGCAGAAGCCTTGTTCTCGGCCTTGCAGGTGACCCCAGTGTCTCTGAATCTAGCCCCATAGGTGTAGGAGGCAGGTGATTGCATCTGAAGATGGGAGCCCAGTTGAGGGTTTGGGAAACACCCATGATCCCTCAAGGGCCCATTGACCTGCCCAGTACATGCCAGGTGGACCTTGGCTTGGAGGCCACAGCTTAACTCTGCAGTTCCCGCTGGGCAGCATTTCCAGGGACTCGTAGGTCAGCATGGTCATCAAGGAGGGGTGGTGAGAGCAGCTCCTCATTGTCCTGGTGACCCTGATGGTTAATTTTCTGATGTCTCTGTGGTGAGCTCCTATTGCGTCAAGTGAATAGAGACCACCGAGAAGCAACAGCCCCGGAAATGCACTCAGAATAGATACAGGACGAGTGGGGTTTGTGAGGACTGTTTTCTGAGGCTTAGCAAGGAAAGCCTAGAGAGGAAGGTCAAACTGCTGCTTCCCAGGGAAGCCAGAGGCCCGAGAACTTGAAAGGGAAGGAGAACTTCATATGTTTTAAAAATGTAACCCTGATGAATTGGCAACAGTTTTATAAATTTCTGTTCTGCTTCATTTCTGCCCCCATAGCTCCCACTCTTGTTTTTGTGGGTGCAATTTTCATACAGAACATTTGTACACAAGCTTCAATTCTCTCTGAGGACGGCTTTGCCCTTTAGGTCTGTCGGGTCCCAGGCAGTCCCAATGCTATGGAAGTGTTGGTGTCAGGCTCTTTGCTCCACATCCTTCTTCAACGGCACGAGGGGTGGGGTGGCGTGTGTGAGTCGTTCGTGATCTTGGTGTGGGCTGTGGCTGGTCTGCAGCACCCCTTCAATAAGTGCTTCAAGGGCTTCTCATGATGCTTGTAGCTCATGAATTAGTGTTTCCTAGAGGCTGTTTCCAGGTGTCTTGCATGTCACACACTGGCCCACTGGGGCTGGAGGGAGATCAGGAGGACCAGACTGTTGGTGAAGGGAGTTGACAGAGACATTGAATGTTGGTGAACAGGAGTGACCTTGGGTCTCAGTAAATACTGTGGTCAACTGAATCCGGAACCCAGCCTCATCATCAGGGCCCACTTCCTCCGGAAGTCTGCTCAGCCGTGTACTTGTGTTCTGGCTGCCGCAGGCCAAGCTGGTTTTCTTCTCCTCCTGTCTTCCCTGGCCCTTGCTTTGTAGCTCTTTGTGGCTGTGTCATGTCTGATTCTCCTTTCCCACTATCTAGATGGCTCGAGGAGGCACACCACACACCAGGTCACCTTCCTCTCTGAACCCCCAGCACCTTGTACTGTTTCTCTGCAGAGATAAGGCTGGGTGAAAGCTTGTGCCAATGATGTGCAGTCTTCTACTCTAGGCCAGTCTCCACTGTAGAAGAGGATTATGATCTTTAGGAGTATGAGCTTGGTTCCTCCATACAATAATGGGTCATAAAACTGAGTGGCCAAGATCATCCTGGTGAGGGGAGTCCGTGTGTTACCATAGTTGCTGTACCAGTTAAGAATGCACCTGGCAGGTGGGGGGCTAGGGGAGGGCTAGCATTAGAAGAAATACCTAATGTAGATGATGGGTTAATGGGTGCAGCAAACCACCATGGCATGTGTATACCTATGTAACAAACATGCATGTTCTGCACATGTATCCCAAAACTTAAAGTATAATTAAAAAAAAAAAAAAAAAGGCCGGGCGCGGTGGCTCAAGCCTGTAATCCCAGCACTTTGGGAGGCCGAGGCGGGTGGATCACGAGGTCGAGAGATCGAGACCATCCTGGTCAACATGGTGAAACCCCGTCTCTACTAAAAATACAAAAAACTAGCTGGGCGTGGTGGCGCGTGCCTGTAATCCCAGCTACTTAGGAGGCTGAGGCAGGAGAATTGCCTGAGCCCGGGAGGCGGAGGTTGCGGTGAGCCGAGATCGTGCCATTGCACTCCAGCCTGGGCAACAAGAGCGAAACTCCGTCTCAAAAAAAAAAAAAAAAAAAAAGAATGTACCACCTGGCTGTAATTTCCTAAAAACCTGACTTACAGTAGCTTAAACAAAGAGTGGTTTATTTTCTTTCTGTCACAGCAATCTGGGGGAGGCCACTGTGGCTTAGTGCAGGAGGTCAGGAAAGGCTGCTTCTCTGAGGTCATCGGGAACCTCCCCAGTGCTTGTGTGGCAGAATGACAACAGGAAGAAGGAGAATTAGGACACTGACAAACATGAGATTTGGGGTCATATATCTTTAGTGGGCAGTGTTTGCCACCCCAGATGTCTCATGCAATGAAAATGTTCTGGAAATGATTTAGGTAGCTGGAGTTTCCTTCCCTAAGACAAGGCATTTACAGCATAAGGTCCACTATCTATTAAGTTTGTGTTATGCATTCGTCGTATTCATAGTCTGCTTTAGGTACTTAGCAAAATACTGCTGGTATTAACCTGCCTTTGTTTGCTTCACTGGAGATGAAATTCTGCTGCAAGTGTTTTCTCAGGTTCCATATGACCCAACATTTGATGAAACAAGAACAGCAGTCAGATCCATTACAAAGAGAGACGCACAAAAAAGTAAGTATATGTTGCTAACATGGTATGTGTACATACCTCTACAGACCTCTGTATTGTCTCAAATGTGCGATGCTAGCATTTTAGCATTCCTTAAATTAACTACTGGGGGACAAAGTCAAACTGAGATGTGAAGAACGCTCTGAAATTCTCTCTACAATCTTCCACCCAATATGGGAGTCTACAGGATACAGTATGAGTGTCCCTGTATTTTGGGGTGATCTCTGATGTGCAGTGTAAGGCAGGTTCTGCCACTCTGGAGGCTATTCAGAGAATAGAAACCTGGTTTGCAAGTGGGGTTCACTGTTCCTTGTAACAAAAGCTATGAGAAGTATAATCAATTTCTATTCACCCACGCTTTATAGATCACTGCCCATGAGTGCCCCAGTCATTGGCTTGGGAGAGCAGAGTCTTCCAGCATCCCTCCCTGTCACCCCCACCGTCACTCCACCCCAGCCTCTGTTAAATATTTGCCCAGGGAAGCAGAGTTGATTTTTCCTCCAGCACTGATGCTCCAATGCCAAGGCTGAGAGTAAGCAGCTGGCCACATATGCAAAAATAATGCACATTAACCCCAAATCACAAAAAGAGCAGAGAAACCCTGTAAGGTGGATATCATGTGCATTAGGGAGAAAAATAAGAATGAGTAATTAGTTATCAGAATAAGCCAGCTATGTGTGCCATGAATTATAAGACTCTCAGCAAAGCAATTTAGTAACTAATCACTTTGCCAATGCATTCTATAAGCCACTGGATTGAGAAAAGACATGAATATTTCATTGTATAATCTCAGTAGCTTGCCCTGCACCATGTTTTACGATGCTCCCCTGGCTGATACATTATGAGGAACACGTTTTTAGCAAAGTGCTTGCATGATTAAGTGTATCTAGTCTTAATGATTCATCAGTGTCTCATTAACAGAGAACTGTGCATTTGTCTTTTATTGGATCAAAGTGGTTGTACTTGAAATCATTTGGCATATACCACGTAGGCCTTTCTACCAGTTTTCCTGTAGAGTTAAACCTGCCATGTGCACAAATCACTCAATGGCTATGCATATTGTCTGTCAAGAGACCATGTGAAAATGAACTTAGCTCCCGGCGTTGTGTTGGAACTTCAGATGCTTGCAGACACTTCATGAATGCTCTGTGACACTCAGAATAGGGGGGTTCAGGCCAAGTGCATGATGCTCTCCTCAGAATGCTGTGCAGAAGAGTCTCAGTTTAAAAAGAATATCTGAAGAGCCAATGAAAGACTTAATCACAGCTGTGGCTGATTTTCCCATAGGCTATTCCCAACAAAAGAGCTCGAAAGATGCTGCATTTGCATCAGGTTCAAATGAGCGAGAGGAGCATTTGGCTAAGATATTTGGTAAGTAACCCCCTGCTACGAGACCCTTAGCCTGTATTTGAAGAGTTGCATGCTTGTCCCTGGTTGTCTCTCAGGTAACCTGTTCCTGCTGCTTTGAGGGGAAAGCAAGTGCTTTGCCTTGAGGCTAGAATCTGTTTCTCCACGTGTCAAAACCCTAATAAATTAAGCCAAATGTAGAAGATAAACACCTGGAAAGGATCCTGCTCCTCAAAGAGTGACCCATGGAGCAGGAGCAGGGCTACCATCTGGTAGCATGAGAATCCCCTGGGGAGACTGTTAAAAAGAGACACACCTTGGCCGGATGCGGTGCCTCATACCTGTGATCGCAGTGCTTTGGGAAGACAAGGCAGGAGGACTGCTTGAGGACAGAAGTGCGGGAGCAGCCTGGGCAACATAGCAAAACTCCCTCTCTCGAAAAAACAAAAACCAAAAACACTCAAAAAACTCCCCCTGCAAAACATGACAAATTAGCCAAGTGTGGTGGCATATGCTGTGGTCCTAGCTACTTGGGAGGATCTTTCGAGCCCAGGAGTTTGAGGCTGCTGTGAGCTATGATTGTGCCACTGTACTCCAGCCTGGGCAACAGAGCTACACTGTCTACTAAAAGAGAGAGACAGAGAGAGACAGAGAGAGAGAGAGAGAGAGATGTTTCACTTTTAGTGGTCAGATCTTGTGAGGTAGGGAGTCAGTTTGCATCACTGGCCAACATGGTGAAACCCCGTCTCTACTAAAAATACAAAAATTAGCTGGATGTGGTGGCATGCGCCAGTAGTCCCAGCTACCCAGGAGGCTGAGGCAGAAGAATCGTTTGAACCTAGCGGAGGAGATTGCATTGGGCCAAGTTTGTGCCACTGCATTCCAGCCTGGGCAATGGAGTGAGACTCCATCTCAAAAAAAGAAAAAAAAGTTAAGAAATAAATGCATTTGTCGATGGTCAATTGACTTTCAACAAGAGTGGCCAAGCCAACAGAGTGGAAATAACAGTCTCTTCAACCAATGGTCCTGGGAAAACTGGAAGGCCACAGGCAAAAGAATGAAGCTGGGAAAAAAAGAAAAAAGAATGAAGCTGGATCATTACCTTATACCATACACAAAAATTAAAACTCAAAGTGAGTCAAAGATCTAAATTCATGAGCTAAAACTATTAGTCTCTTAGAAGTAAACATAGGTGAAAATCTTCATGACCTTGAATTAGGCATGTGTTATCTTAAGACACCAAAAGCAGGCAAATAAATAAATAAATAAAAAATAAAGAAAGAAAAAAAGAAAAAAGAAAAATTTAGCTAAATTGGACACCATCAAAAATTTAAAAAATTGAATGGTATCTAATATCATTTGATATACAAAAAAGGCATTTCTCTTACACAATGAGAAGACATTTGCCAATCATATATCTAATTAGGAATCAATATCCAGAAGACACAGAAAATTCTGATAACTTAACAACAAAGCAAACAGACGACCCACTCCAAAATGGGCAAAGAACTTGAATAGCCATTTTCCAAAGAACATATACAAATAGCCAATAAACACATAAAAAGATGCTCAACATCATTAGTCATTAGGTAAATACAAAATACCATTATTCACACTTCTTAGAATGGCCACTTTTTTTTTTTTCAGTTTGAGAGCAGGTACTGTTTATTAACTGACCAGCTTAGAAAAATAATCATGGTAGACACCTTAGTTCATTCTTCTAATAAGCCTGTTGATCTGGTCCTCCCTGTTGCCAGCATCTCCACCCTCTACAAAATGGGTGGTCTTTTTCTTCATTCCGCCTCGTGGAGAAGATAATTTGAAGGGTCACAGGAAGCTATTTGCTTCTTTGAAGTGTTTCCCAATAGTATAGATCTCATGAATCAGATCCTCCATGCAGATGATGCCATATTTACCAAGAAATCAAGCAATCAAAGTGTTACCTGTCAAAGCAATTAGCTTCTTATTGATTTTGCCATAACCAAGTTTGTAGATTAGTTCATTTACTGACTTTAGATTTGGGTACCACCATGCACTATATGGCTCTACAATCCTCAGCATGTTAATTGAGGCCTTGTTGAGCTTCATAAAGTTTCCATTGAAGATTTGATGAAGGCAAAGAAGTTGCAACACCTTTCAGACCTTTGGGCTCACACCATAGATACCTCTGATCTTGATGACAAACGCCAATTTGGGTTTTGCAGGTACATAGAAGTTACCAGCTTTCCTTGCCATCCTCACCATTCGAATTTCAGTTCTGTACATCTGCCTATATTCCTTGAGGTAGTGCTTCTCTTTTTCATAGATAAGCTTCCTCCTTGCCTTTCAAAGCATCTTTTGGGCAAACTTCTTTCTCAGGTGCTTGATCTTCAGCTCTGTGAAATTCCTTCACTTTTTCTTAAGGATTTCTGGCACAGCAGGAATCTTCTTCTCTTCTATACCCTCCATGGTTCCAGCCAGGAAAAGAAGAAGTCGGCCTTTTTTTTTTCTTTTTTTTTTGAGACAGAGTCTTGCTCTATCGCCCAGGCTGGAGAGCAGTGGCACGATCTTGGATCACTGCAACCTCCGCCTCCCAGGTTCAAGCAATTCTCCTGCTTCAGCCTCCCTAGTAGCTGGGATTATAGTTGCCCGCCACCAAGCCTGGCTAAGTTTTGCATTTTTAGTAGAGATGGAGTTTTGCCATTTTGGCCAGGCTGGTCACAAATTCCTGACCTCAGGTGATACACCCGCCTCAGTCTCCCAAAGTGCTGGGACTACTGGCATGAGCCACCATGCCCAGCCAGAATGGCTATTTTTTAAAAAAAGAAAAATATTAAATGTTGGTGAGGATGAAGGACATTGGAACCCTCATACGTTGCTGGTGGGAAGATAAGATGGTACAGCTGCTACACATCCATTTTGTGGTGTTATAACAGAATACCACAGGCTGGGTAATTTGTAATAAACTGAAATTTATTGGCTCCCAATTCTGAAGGCTAGGAAGGCCAAGACTGAGGGGCCAGCATCAAGTGAGAACCTTTTTGCTGCATCATCATCCCATGGCAGAAAGTGGAAAAGCCATAGAGGGTGAAAGAGAGAGTAAGGGAGGGCCAAACTTGTCCTTTTACGTGGTATGCACTTTTGTGATAACTAACCCACTCCTGTGATAACCACATTAATCTTTTAACGAGGGCACAATTTTCATGACCCAAACACCTCCATCAGGCCCCACCTCCTAACATGATGACCACACTGGGAATCAAATTTCCAGCTCATGAAATTTGAGGACACATTTAAATTATAGTAATAGGTACAGAGTTTCTGTTTCAGTTGATTTTTTTTTTTTTTTTCTACATGGAGTCTCTCCCTGTCACCTAGGCTGGAGTGCAGTGGTGTGATCTCAGCTCACTGCAACCTCCACCTCCCGGATTCAAGTGATCCTCCTGCATCAGCATCCTGAGTAGCTGATATTACAGGCATGTGCCACCACACTGGGGTAATTTTTTGTAACTTTAGTAGAGACAGGGTTTCACCGTGTTGCTCAAGCTGGTCTCAAACTCCTGACCTCATGATCTGCCTATCTTGGGCTCCCAAAGTGCTGGGTTTACAGGCATGAGCCACTGCGCTTGGCCTTGTTTTAGGTGATTTAAAAGTTCTGGAGGCTGGGTGCCTTAAACCCAGCACTTTGGGAGGCCAAAGCAAGCAGATTGCTTGAGGTCGGAAATTTAAGACCAGCCTGATCAACATGGAAACCCTGTCTCTACTAAAACTAAAAAAATTAGCTAGGTGTGGTGGCATGAGCTTGTAATCCCAGCTAGTTGGGAGACTGAGGTGGGAGGATCATTTGAGCCTGGCAGGTAGAGGTTGCAGTGAGCTGAGATTGCACCACTGCATTCCAGCAGGGAGTTCTGGAAATACATAGTGGTCATGTTTACACAACACTGTGAATGTCTTCAATGCTTTTAAATTGTACACTTAAATAAAGTAAAAATGGGCCAGACATGATGGTTCATGCTTGTAATTTCAATACTTTTTAACGCTGAGGTGGGAGGATCACTTGAGGCCAGGAGTTCCAGACCAGCCTAGGCAACATAGAGAGACCCTGTTTGTACAAAAAATTTAAAAATTAGCTAAGTGCGATGGCACATCCTTATAGTCCCAGCTACTCAGGAGGCTGAGGTGGGAGGACTGCTTGAGGCCAAGAGTTCAAGGCTGCAGTGAGCTGTAGATTGCACCACTGCAGTTCAGCTTGGGTGACAGACACAGCAAGACTTTGTCTCTAAATAAATAAATAGCAGAAATGCAAATTTCACATTAAGTGTATTTTCACACACACACACACACACACACACACACACAGAGAGCAAACCCAAGGCCCAGGGAAGCTCTCTTTAGCAGAGAGCTGAGACAGAGAAAAGGGTTCTGAACCGCAGCCATCTGCTGAAGGAAGCTGTCCAGATGCCAGTGCAGTCTCTCCCAGGGGTTCCTGGGCCTTGTGTCAGGAGTGGAGGTTGAGGGTCGCCTTAGGTGTGGGAAGGAGCCCAGGGAGAGTGACACAGTTTCTTCCCCCTGGGTCAGGAGGCATTCGGATCACAGAGCGATGCCTGCACATTCCCGGTTGCACGAGAGTAGATCTCTCGACACCCGATAGGCCTTCGTTCTGGCAGCTGTCCGTGGCAGGAGCACTGGGCTTGCTCCTCGCCATGGGAACCATCACACAGGCCTCGGGCAGTCTGCATAGACGACAGCCTGGCAGGTGACCAGGCTGGGATGAGTGAGCAGATATGGATAGCACTTGTGGTCCCCCCAGCTGTGCCTTCAGCACCTGCTGTCTAGGAGGCAGAAGCCTTGTTCTCAGCCTTGCAGGTGACCCCAGTGTCTCTGAATCTAGCCCCATAGGTGTAGGAGGCAGGTGATTGCATCTGAAGATGGGAGCCCAGTTGAGGGTTTGGGAAACACCCATGATCCCTCAAGGGCCCATTGACCTGCCCAGTACATGCCAGGTGGACCTTGGCATTGGAGGCCACAGCTCAACTCTGCAGTTCCCGCTGGGCAGCATTTCCAGGGACTCGTAAGTCAGCATGGTCATCAAGGAGGGGTGGTGAGAGCAGCTCCTCATTGTCCTGGTGACCCTGATGGTTAATTTTCTGATGTCTCTGTGGTGAGCTCCTATTGCGTCAAGTGATTAGAGACCACCGAGAACCAACAGCCCCGGAAATGCACTCAGAATAGATACAGGATGAGTGGGGTTTGTGAGGACTGTTTTCTGAGGCTTAGCAAGGAAAGCCTAGAGAGGAAGTTCAAACTGCTGCTTCCCAGGGAAGCCAGAGGCCCGAGAACTTGAAAGGGAAGGAGAACTTCATATGTTTTAAAAATGTAACCCTGATGAATTGGCAACAGTTTTATAAACAGAGCTTTCTGAGCTGATAGAATCTGTTCTGATTCATTCCTGCCCCCACAAACTTTACCCTATTTTTATGAATTATCTTGCAAACAATCTAAAAGAACTAGAAGAATGATCAGGGCACTAAGTATCAGGAGATCTGGGGCCATATATCTTTAACGGGTAGTGTTTACCAGCCAGGAAGTCTCAGACAATCACAATTATCCGGAAATGATTTAGGTAATGGCATTTTCCCTCCCAAGACAAGGCATTTTAGGGAATAAAGTCCCATATCTGCGGAGTTTGCGTCACGTATTCACTGTATTCATAGACTGCTTTACATACTTAGAGAGCAAAATACATCAGTCCTGCATTGCTCGTATTAACATGGCTTTGTTTGCTTCACTGGAGATGAAATTCTACTGCAAGTCACGTCCCAGTTTCCGTATGACCCATCATTTAAAGAAACAGCAGCAGTCAGATCCATTACAGAGAGAGACATGAGAAAAGGTAAGTGTATGTCGTGAACACAATAAATGCACACGTCTATAGGCCTATGTGTCGTTTTAAATGTGTGGTACTATCATCCTAGCAATCTTTAACCCAACTACTAGTGGGGCAAAGCCAGACTGAGATATGAAGGAAATAAATATGAAATCCTCTCTATAACCTTCCACCTGCTATGGAATCCATGGTCCAAAGTGTGAATCTCTGTGTATTTTGGGATGATCCTTGATGTGCAGTGTTGGGCAGGTTCTGCCACCCTGGAGGCATTCAGAGGACAGAAACCTGATCTGCAAGTGGGGTTCCCCATTCCTGACAACAAGAGCAGCTAGCAGCATCGTAACTTTCCACCCAACACATGAATCCTTCTAAGTGTACAGTGTGGTTTGAGGGTTATGTAGTCATTAATGCCCCATCCAGTGGATGATAAAAACAAGACCAAAATGACTTACCTTTGGCACACCCATAGAAACGACAGATGTGAAGAACACACTCTTTCCCCCAAAGCAGCTTCATATTACGGGAAAAATTTAGCACTTTGGGAATTAAGATAGGTATTTGCTCATAGTAATGAGGATAGAATTATGTATTGGAAATCTGCCAGATGTGCATGCAAGTGCCCCGGGCAGGGGGGGGGGGAGTGGACACTGTGTTGATATTCTGCAGACAGATGTTTGCACCCCAATTCCTGAGGGTAGTTTCCCTGAGGGTAGCCCAGGACAGCTGCCTGGGCACCTCTGCAATTGGCAGTGAGATGGCACTGCTCTCTACGTTGAGGCATTCACTTTCAGACACACATTTGTTCATACAAGTTGAGTTCTTTATTAGCATTTCAACTTAAAAATGGAAAACAAGACTGGGAGCAGTGACCGTAATCACACCTATAATCCCAGCACTCCACCTCAGAAGGGTGAGGCAGGCGGATCACCTGAGGTCAGGAGTTCAAGACCAGCCTGGCCAACATGGTGAAACCCAATCTCTACGAAAAATACAAAAATCAGCTGGTCATGGTGGTTCGTGCCTGTAGATCCAGCTACTCAGGAAGCTGAGACATGAGAATCACTTGAACCTGGGAGGCGGTGGTGCAGTGAGCCCAGATTTTGCCACTGCACTCTAGACTGGGTGACAGAGCAAGACTCTATCTCAAAAACAAAACAAAACAAAAGAATGGGAAACAAAATATGGGCCCAAGGTGCTTGCAAATGTATACTGACGAAGACCCTTTTTCTCATTTCTTTTTCATGTGTTTTATCAAAGGAACCAGTGCTACTTGGAATTCTCCTAAACCAGAATATTTCCTTGGCAGTGTGGACAAAATTCCCAATAAAGGTAAATGCAAATGCATACAATTGGAATTGGGGGTCGATAAGTCATCGTTTTTTTTCCTCTGACCTGACCTGAGTTCAGAGCTGAGGGTCCGGCAGATGGTGCTGGGACTGTCTTGTAGAGAAATACCGGTACTTGGCTGCACAACGTGGGCAATTCACCCTGAATTAGGAAGAGATCCCCAATCACCAGTAAGGTTTAGGATACCCATGGTTTCCCCAGATCCCACTCTGTGTGAGTCTGCTTCTGTATAGCATGAAGGAGCAGACTAGAATGTTTGTTATCTGCAGGCAGATGGCTGCTGGCCAGGAGGGAGAGAGAGCTCGCCTTAGACACCCGGTGCCTCCTCCCAAACTGACCTGGGCAGGCCTTTTCCCCTCTGGGGTGGTGGAGCTGGGCAGGGGCTAAGCACATTCCTGCAGGGCTGCCCCAGTGGAATTCTTCCCTCCTCCTCAGGTGTTGGGAAAGCGCTCCCTCCAGCCAGGACCAGAGGCTCATTTGAGCGATCTGATCATGCTGGAGGCAGATTGGCTCCGAAGACAGGATGAGCAGCTAGAATCCATGAAGCGTTTCTCTCCATGAAAGACTTAAAGATTTAAAAGAAAAAACCCAAATAGGTCACTGTCTGAGCTGGTAAATATGTGGTCTTTCCTGGGTGCAGGATTATGAACCTGGCCGCTGGTTCCCAGGACGCACAGTACATCAGCCAGGGGTCAGGGATGGGGAATGGGAAGAGCTTATTAAAAATCCTTATTCCCAGGCCTCCCCATGAATCTCTGAAAATGAGCCCAGCAATCTGCACGTTTTTACCCATCCCTCTAGTGACTTTTCTATAGTCAGCCAGGTACTAGCCCCCGACATATGGAATCATTGACTTAGATGATATTTGCGATTAATTTACCACAGAATACTCTTTGAAATGAATACTGCTAATATCCCAGAATTCATCCTCCATGTTCCCTTCCGTAAACTGCATGATGATCATAAATAAACTTGGCCAGCTCTTTGGTACCTGGGTCTACACTGCGGGAGGTGAGGGTATGGTTTTACATGGAGGACCACGGGGGGCTGAAATGTTCTCATCTGCACAATCAGTCTGCGTCCCTCCATTTTCCTGTGACATGGCTACCTGTTGTCCCAACACCATTTACGAAAAAGTCCATCTTCGCTTCAGTGACCTGAGATGCCCTTTTCTCATTTATTGATTCCTGTATGTACTGTGTGTATGCCTGGGCTGGCTTTCTTTCTTTCTTTCTTTCTTTTTTTTGAGATGGAATCTCACTTTTTCTGTTCGGGCTGGAGTGCGGTTGCGTGATCTCGGCTCACTGCAACCTCCGCCTCCTGGGTTCCAGCGACTCCCTTGCCTCAGCCTCCTGAGTACCTGGGCTTTCAGGAGCACACTACCAAGCCAGGCTAATTTTTGTACTTTAGTAGAAACAGGGTTTCACCATTTTGGCCAGGCTGGTCTGGAACTCCTGATATCAAAAGATCTGCTCACTTCGGCCTCCCAAAGTGCTGGTATTACAAACGTGAGCCACCACGCCCGGCCTATGCCTGAGCTTTCTACTCTAACTCACTGGTCTGTTCCTCTCTGTATTCAACACTGTACCACATTGTTTTAATTAGAGGTTGAAATCGTATTTTTTTTTTTTTTTTTTTTGAGACAGGATCTTGCTTTGCTGCCCAGGCTGGAGTGCAGTGGTACTATCTTGACTCATTGCAACCTCTCCTCCCAGGTTCGAGCAACTCTCCTGCCTCAGCCTCTGGAGTAGCTGGGATTACAGGTGGCTGCCACCTTGCCCAGCTACCTTTTGTATTTTTAGTAGAGATGAGGTTTCACTATGTTGGCCAGGCTAGTCTCAAACTCCTGACCTCAAGTGATCCACCCACTTCGGCCTCCCAAAGTGCTGGGATTACAGGTGTGAGTCACAGCAGATAACAGTTTTAATGTCTTGCAGGACTGGTTCCCCTTTTGCTGTTTTTGTTTTTTTCATTGTTTGCCTGGCTATTTTTGCATGTTTGTTTTTCCGTATGAACTTTAGCATCAACTTGTCTAACGTCATTAAAAGGCTGTTAGTATTCTGATTGGCATTGCATCAGATTTATAATACAATATTCACTTTGGGAAAACAGATGTTAGGTCATCCTGTGCTAGAAATGGGAATGCCTTTCCAGTTCTTCGAGTTCATTTTCAGTGTGTGTTCAAGTTTTCCGTATATAGATTTTTACATGGATCTTCTTAAGTTTATTCCCAAGTCATCTAATTTTCTGTGTTGCTATTGTAAGAAAGGGGTTTTCTCTATCATTATATTCTCTACCTACTTATTGTTTGGGAATAGGGAAGCTTGATTTTTGTATATTAATTTTATGTCCTCTTGCCTTATTCAATTCTACACATACTGTTATATCATCTGTAAATAGAGATAGTTCTACTTCTTTACCAGTTGTTATGCCTCTACCTGATTTATTTATCATGTTTAACTGCATTGCTAATACCTCTAGGATAATCTTGAGTGGTTGCTGGAGATATAGTGGGCATCCTGTTTTGTACTTGCTCTTGGAGAAAATGCCTCTAGAATTTTCTGATTAAGATTCTGGTTATAGGACTAATATGAATAAGAGATTATCAATCTGTATTTCTTTCCTTCCATCTATACACATACATGTAAATATATTGTACATGTAAATATATATACGTACATAGATTTGTACTGAGAATGTATCTGTCCAGAAAACACTTTTGGGTATTTTTTTCCGTTTCTATGAGTCGAGTTACTTTAGATGTCTCATGTAAGTTGAAACATACGGTACTTGTCTTTTTGTGATTGGTGAAGTTCACATAGTATGGTGTCCTCAAAGTTAATCTATGGTATAGAATATGACAGAATTTCCTTTCTTTCTTTCTTTTTCTGAGATGGAGTTTCACTTTTGTTGCCCCGGCAGAAGTGCAATGGCACAATATTGGCTCACCGCAACCCTTGCCTCCCAGGTTCAAGCAATTCTCCTGTCTCAACCTCTCGAGTAGCTGGGATTACAGGCATGCGTAATTACATTACACCACATCTGGCTAATTTTGTATTGTTAGTAGAGACAGGGTTTCTCCATGTTGGTCGCGCTGGTCTCAAATTCCCAATCTCAGGTGATCTGCCCACCTCGGCCTCCCAAAGTGCTGGGATTACAGGCGTGAGCCGCCGCACCCAGCCTTCTTTTCTTTTTAAGGCTTAATAATTTTCTGTCGTATGCATATACCATATTTTCTTTATCCATTTATCTGTTGTTGCACACTTGAGTTACCCTCATGTTTTGGCTATTGTAAATAAATAATGCTGCAGTGAATCTGGGTGTGCAAATATCTCCAAGATCCTGTTTTCCATTCTTTAGGATATGTATCCCGAAGTGGGATGTGGGCTCATATGGTAAATCTATTTGCAGTTTTTGGAGGAGCCTCCATATTGCTTCTGTAGCAGCTACACTGTGCTACAATCCCACCAGTGTGTGCAGCCTTCCCGTTTCTTCACATCCTTACTAACACTTGTTATTACATATGTGCTTGTTTTAAACATCAGGACTGGGTGCTGCATTTTGTTCAAGGTCCTTTCAGCATCCGTGGAACTAATCATATGATTTGTTTCCGTAAGTCTAATAACTATATATATATATATACACACACACATATATATGATAATAATGAACTTCCTCATGACAAACCATCCTGCATTTTTAGAATGAATTCTACTTGGTCATACTGGGGCTTGGAGAGTCCAGTCACTGCCAGAGTCTTGGCCCTGGGCCCAGCTTTTTTCAGCACATCTGTGCTGTCACTCAGACTGGCAGGGGACGGGGAAGGAGCCTTGGGGTTCCTTTAGACACCAAGGAAGCAGCAGGTCCTGGTATAGATATGTAGACTGAGCCAGATTTATAACTTTCAGTTACTGATACATATGATGGGTGTTCCTCCATTCGTATTCCTTTTCAATTTTTAAAAATTGTTATAGAATACGTATAACATAAGCTTTACCATCTTAACCATTTTTAAGGGCACAGTTCAGTGGTGTTAAGTACATTCGTGACGTTGTGCATCCATCACCAGCATTCATCTCCAGAACTCTTTTCATCTTATAAAACCAATACTCTATACCCATTAAGTAATAACCATCCGTTCCCCTTCTGCACCCCCTCGCAACCGCTGTTCTACTTTCTGTCTGCTTTTGACTACTGTAAATAGCTCCCATAAGCGGGATCATAGAGTATTCGTCTTTTTGTTACTGACATTTCATTTTGCATGATGTCCTCAAGGTTCACCCATGTTGTAGCGTATGTCAGAATGTCCCTCCTTTCTGAAGCCAAATCATATCCCATTGTAGGTATCCGCCACGTTTTGTTTACTCACTTACCCTTGATGGGTTGCTTCCACATTTTAGCCTTGTGAATGATGCTGTTACGAATGTGGATGTACAGGTAATTCTTTGAGACCCTGCTTTCAGTTACTTTGGGTGTATACTCAGAAGTGAAATTGCTGGATTCTATGGTCGTTTTGGTTTTAATTTCCTGAGGAACCACCATGCTGTTTTCCATGATGGCAGTAGCATTTTACATTCCCAGCAACAGCACAGGGGTTCCAGTTTCTCTACATCCTCGCCAACACATGTTATTTTCTGTTTTTCTTTTTTAATTGTTTAAAATTTTATTTATTTATGTATTTATTTATTTATTTTTGAGACAACGTCTTGTTCTGTAGTCCAGGCTAGAGTGCAGTGGTGCGATCTTGGCTCACTGCAACCTCTGCCCCCTGTGTTTAAGTGATTCTCCTGCCTCAGCATCCTGACTAGTTGGAATTCCAGGCATGTGCCACTGCACCTGGCTAATTTTTTTTGTATTTCTTAGTAGAGACAGGGTTTCACCATGTTGGCCAGGCTGGTCTTGAACTCCTGACCTCAGGTATTCCACCCGCCTCAGCCTCCCAAATTGCTAGGATTAAAGGCGTGAGCCACTACACCTGGCTTATTTTCTGTTTTTTTCGACAGTAGTCATTCTAATGGGTAAGAGGCAGTATTTCATTGCAGCTTTGATTCGCAATTCCCTAATGATTAGGGATGTTAAGCATCTTTTCATGCACGATCAGCCATTTGTACATCTTCTTGGCAAAAATGTCTATTGAAGTCCTTAGCCCATTTTTGAACGGGTTATTTGTATTTTTGTTGTTGGGTGTCAGGAGCTCTCTCTCTAGTCTGGGCATCATTCCCTTACCAGATAAAGTATTTGCAAATGTTTTCTTCCATTTTGAGTGGGACATCTTTGTTTACACTGTCTTTTGATGCACAAAATTTTTTAATTTGCATAAAGTCCAATTTGTCTATTTTTTCTTTGGTTGCCTCTGTCTTTGGTATCAGACCCAAGAAATAATTTCTGAATCCAACGTTGTGAATTTTCTGCCCTATGTTTTTTTCTGAAAGTTTTATAGCTTTAGGTATTACATTTAGGACCTTGTTCCATTGTGAGTTAATTTTTGTTTATGGTGTTGGATAAAGATCTGACTGTATTCTTTCGCATGTGGATATCCTGTTTTCGTAGCACTATTTGTTATCCTATTAAAATTGTTGTGCTGGTGTTTGCAAATGTTAGGTGTGGTCTGCCCAGGAATGTATATTCCAGTGCCAAGACACCTCAGCTCCTGAATAAGAAAATGCCCCTGAATAATTTACCTTCAACCCTGAATAATCATTGTTTAAATAAATTAAATGATATACTTGGAGGATAGAAAGCTATCTAGCTTGATTCTTTTATTTCTAAAACTGTTTCTTCAGTCAATTGGTTTCAAATAATTTTACTTTCAAGTCATTATTTTTCCTTCTGGAGGAACCAGGACAACGTTTTTTTTCTTTATTTCTTTTTTTTGTTTGTTTTCAATTTTTACTTTTTAAGACGGAGTCTCACTCTGTCATCCAGGCTGGAGTGCAGCTGTGCCGTCTTGGCTCACTGCAACTCCCACCTCCCAGGTTTAAGCGATTCTCCTGTCTCTGCCTCCCGAGTAGCTGGGACTATAGGTGCGCACCACCATGGCCAGGAGTCTTGGCTAACAAGACAGGTTTAGCAGGGTGGTTCTGGCTCAGAGTCCCTCATGAAGTTGCAGTCAAGATTCTTCCAGATTCATTCTCTCCCTCAAGACCTAGCTACTGATCCCTCCCACCCAGTCACAGGCACTGTGCCGGAAGCTAGCGAGCTCAGTGAGGCATTCTTGTCCTCCAAGAGCTCACAACTCTTAAGAGAGACAGCTAATCAATAAATAACTATTAGATATAAACATGCTAACATTGAAGGTTTTAAAAAATTGCTTTTGTTGTAGTTGCACAGAGTTCTGGGAGAACAAGAGGCTGATCTGCTTGATAGGGTTTTTCCAAGCAGGAAGAGTAAGGGAAGAAGGCTGAGAATCACCCGCAGGCAGTGGGACATGACAAAGGTCACATTGCCAGCTGAGGGGGCTGATCAGATCCATCTTCAGAGGGTGGGAGCCGCTTTCAGGATACTGAGCAGGGACAGTAAATTCCAGACCACACTGTCTGGACCCCCTCCTCAGCATCAGTGACCATGCAAAAAAACAAAAAAAAAACCAAAAAAACAAAAAACAAAACAAAACAAAAAAAGGCTGAGTGCCGTGGCTCAGTCTTGTAATCCCACCAGCCCTTTGGGAGGCTGAGGTGAGTCACCTGTGGTCAGGAGTTCCAGACCAGCCTGGCCAGCATGGTGAAACCTTGTCTCGACTAAAAATACAAAAATTAGTTGGGCGTGGTGGCAGGCACCTATAAACCCACCTACCTGGGAGGCTGAGGTAGGAGAATCGCTTGAACCCGGGTGGTGGAGTTTGCAGTGAGGCGAGATCGCACCACTGCACTCCAGCTTGGGCAACAAAGTGAGATTCTGTTAAAAAAAAAAAAAAATGGTGAAAAACATCTCGATAGTAGGAGAAGTGGGGAAATTACATTCTGAGAAGTGAAGTGTCTTGGAAAAAGTGTGCCCAGGTCTGTGGACACAGCTGTAGCTAGGGATGGTCATAGGTCCACTGAATGGAATCTAGTGTCAGTCCCATCAATAAGGTGCTATTAACATGTAATCAAAGGCTCATACCAATGTTAGAGTCTCCAAAACACAGACAATTATCAAGACGTAAGAATTCAACTTTTTCTTGAGCACAAAGTCAAAGTTTCTTGGTTTTGCACTCCTTTAAGAAGGGTTTTTACCAAGCCCAGCACACGCTTGATTGGCAGCTTGGGTTGAGCCTACACCACAGAAGGATGGGAGAATTGCTCTCGTAACGGGCGGCTGCTCCTGTCATAGTTAATAGTTCTAAAATTCAAAAGAAGTCTGGAAATGGAACCGTGTTCGTCAAAAATTTGATAATTGTGCTTTTCCCCACAAATAATAATCCAACAAATGATCTCACACAACCCATCAAACATAAAAGACTCCTTCAGACTCTTCAAAGAACCCTAGGTGAATGAAAACTTATGTCCATACTGACGATAAGAATAGGCAGTGGCTCTTAATTCTGATGTCTTCTCCCTTCCATAGAGAAAGGGAGTGAACACGTGTTCTCGTGTCAGGTCTGTCATTGCTCCAGCTCTGTGGACGAGCAGGTCGAGTCTGCCCCCTAGTGGAGAACTCCATGCTCGCCAGGGCTTTCTGTCTGTTAATCTCTGGACTCCGATTTGACATGTCGCATTTCAAAAGTCAAGTTAATGATCAGTCTTATGAAATTGAGAATTTTCTCTCTTTTCTAAGCCAAGTTGAATAAGGAACAAATTTCTCTTTTTTCAGGAATAACAAGAACTTCATGAGGCTGTTATCAGCCTCATGATAGTCTTAACCATATTGTGATAATTTTCTGTTATTATTATTTTGTTTAATTTCATTACTCTTTTGAGACAGGGGCTTGCTCCGTTACCTGGGCTGGAGTGCAGTGGTGTGATTATAGTTCTCTGCAGTCTTGATCTCCTGAGTTCAAGCCATCTGCCTACCTCAGCGTTTCTTTTCTTTTCTTTTTTTTTTAGACGGAGTTTCGCTCTTATTACCCAGGCTGGAGTGCAATGGCGCGATCTCGGCTCACCGCAACCTCCGCCTCCTGGGCTCAGGCAATTCTCCTGCCTCAGCCTCCTGTGTAGCTGGGATTACAGGCACGCGCCGCCATGCCCAGCTAATTTTTTGTATTTTTTTTTTAGTAGAGACGTGCTTGTTGTCTCGTGTCGGATCCTGTTCCCTCTGCAGCAGTGAGCCCAGTGCTTTTCTTGCTGATGATATAAGTTTATGTTTAACCTCTATTCTTGCTAAGGTTTATGGTTTCCATGCTGACATTGGGATCTTTGTGCATCAGGCTTGCAAATGTATTCTTTTTCTATGATCGTTACCACACTGTTGTGTAGCCTCAATCCCCTCCCCTATTGAAAGAGCCTAATAAAAAACTGAGCTTTTGAGGGGAATTTTAAACATCCACGGAGCGGCTGTATGTGGTGTCTCACCTGGGCCCAGTTTTGAAGAAAACGGTTTCTTTGTCTTCTTTTTTCTTTTTCACCAACCACTTGGTTACTTTGAGAGATCTTGAATCCACATTGATGTATTGGGAGCTGGTCTTCCAACATGGAAGGTCTCTCATCTGGGCCTGGGAGCTCCAGCCGGCTCTGAAGTCTTCTGGGGTGTGAGAGTCATTACTTGCCATCCTTTGCCATTCCCTCTTTGATAGCTCACTTTCTTTTTTTTTTTTTTTTTGAGACGGAGTTTCGCTCTTGTTACCCAGGCTGGAGTGCAATGGCGCGATCTCGGCTCACCGCAACCTCCGCCTCCTGGGTTCAGGCAATTCTCCTGCCTCAGCCTCCTGAGTAGCTGGGATTACAGGCACGTGCCACCATGCCCAGCTAATTTTTTGTATCTTTAGTAGAGACGGGGTTTCACCATGTTGACCAGGATGGTCTCGATCTCTCGACCTCGTGATCCACCCGCCTCGGCCTCCCAAAGTGCTGGGATTACAGGCTTGAGCCACCGCGCCCGGCTGATAGCTCACTTTCTAACTGCCAAACAGTCCACACACATTTCCTGGAGCGCGACCCATTGGTTCTAGTTTGTTCCCCAGAGCTTCCCACAACATCTCTCAGCCTCTTCCCAGGCCGTTCTGCATCTGGCAAAGACAGACAGGCCATGCTGGCCTCCCGATGTTCTCTAAGCTAAACTCAGGCCCTTTGACAGGTCTCATATGCAAATGAGTCAGGCACCAAAGAGCAGAGCCGAGGATGCAAATATTTCTCATTTTCGACTGTCTCGTTTCCATTAAACTATTCTGCAATCCCTCTAGCAATACCTGAATACTTCAGTCTGGTTAATTTTCCTATCTTGTCCTTGCAACTCAAGAAACATTTTTATAGCACTTTGTGGTTTAAAGTTATTTTCACGAACAGCATGCAACTTGTGAAGTAGGTCTTATTTTCTCTATTTTATGCAAGTGGAGAAGTAGGCTGCAGCTTAGAGAGGTTCTCACTTGGGTCCTCTAAGCATGGGCCTCTCCCCACAGAAGCAGCATCTTTTGGGGTCTGTGAATCATGTACATTTCCAGGCCTATCCCAGACCTATGGAATCAGAAACTCTGGGGTGTGGTCGGCAATTTGTGTTTTCAGAAGCCCTCCCAGTGTGATTCAGATGCAGGCTCAAGTGCAAGGAATCCTGCCTCAGCTATGGGTGGGTTGCCCAGGAATTTGTTAGATTTTTAAAAAGTAAACAAAAACCAAGAAAACACCAACACATTGATGTTCTGATGTTTATACTTTCCCCCAAATCCTCCCTAACTCCTCACTTTGATCTAGAAGAAGCTACTTTTATCATAAAAGCAGAACTAATTACAGGCCATGGTTGTTTACCGATGAACACATTTGGTCTTTTGTAGATTACGTCTCAGAGGAGAAGAGGTTTAAAGAATCCCCTCTGTTCGACAGGGATGTAAGACAGCAGTTAACTACTGCAGATAGAGAAACACTTGAAGGAGCAGCTAAACCAGGTTGGAATCTATATAGCATGAACTAAGTATGATGCTGAAATACAGACAGCTTCAGAATGTGTCTTTTGCCTTTTGTGGTATTTTAACTGACACCTTTAATTCACCCGCAAAATACAATGTGTATTTAAGATTTGTGAATGAAACCAACTCCAGAGGCTGGGTGCTGTGGCTCACATCTTTAATCCCAGCCCTTTGGGAGGTCGAGGCTGGCGGATCCCCTGAGGCCAGGAGTTCGAGACCAGCCTAGCCAACATGGCAAAACGCCATTTCTACTAAAAATACAAAAAAATTCACTGGGCATGGTGGCAGACACCTGTAATGTCAGCTGCTCAGGAGGCTAAGGCAGGAGAATCTCTTGCCCCAGGAGGTGGAGGCTGCAGTGAGCAGAGATTGTGCCATTGCACTCTAGCCTGGGCAACAAGAGCGAGGCTCCATCTGAAAAAACAAAACAAAACAACTAGAAATACAAAAGCCCCAACTCCAGAAATTTCAAAAAGGTACTTTTATATTGTGTCTGCACAGCCAGGGTCCTTCGTAACATGGGCATGATATTCTGAGTCCCAGCCGGTGCCGGGCTGAGGCTTTCTGACAACCAGGAGGGATGAAATGCCACGTGCGGGCCTAGTTCCAGATGAGCTTCACCCTTGCTCATCCCTGAGCCCAGACCTGTTCAGAGTGGCAGAAACTCACCCATGCTGGCACCAAGCACAGTGCAGCCCTCCACACAGCCACTCCCTGTCAAAACGATACCCAGCTGTCCCTTCCTAACGCTTAGAAATAATAAATGCGAAATTATTTGAACAAGACTTTAGAGGTGCTGGATGAGCCACCTCTTGGCATAGCATAGCTGAAGGTGGGAGGCTACACAAACCCTGTTTTCTCCCCATCACCCAAGAAGGCCCTGGCTCAGCTGTCCCGTCTGCATCACTGGCTGCCCTGGACAGCTCTCCACACGAAGCCAGCTGCTACCGGGGATCATACCTCCCTGTCCCATCTCCCTGATGTCTTTTTCTTTTTTGGTCACATTATAAATTGGGTGACAGATGCTCTGGGAGACCCTGATGTCGACTGGGTCTCCGTCCTTTGAGATCTGGCTAAGACTGCCTTGCTTTCCCGAGCCTATGCTCAGAGGTATTCCCATCCACTTTCACAGTCTTTGTGAATCCTCATAGGGGCTCTGAAACTGGGGATCATCTCTGGCATTATGTTTGCCTCGTGCTGGTGCCGATACGAAATACCCCAAACCTACACACACGAGGCAAGTTCTGTACACAGGAGAATTTCCTGAAGCCAGGGGCAGAGGAGGGGCAGCAGAGAAGCGGTTCCATCCCTGCCCTGTGAAAAGCTGCAGACTGAATGTTGGCCTCCATTGTTCTTAAAAGTTTTTGCAGTAGGATTTCTCAGCCTCCTCCAGTGCCCCTGCCTCCCCTCACCCCATCTGAGCTCTCATCTGCTCTTCTCTTTACCTACATACTGCTCTGTGGAGCTCGCTTCCTGGTTGCTTTGTTATGTGCCAGCCCAGACCCTCAGCGTCTCATCTCCACGCCGCAAAACATCTCGTCTTATCACCAGATAGCAGAGGAACACATTTCCTCAAACAGCCAGTTTCTTCTTGAGAGGACTTCTGGAAGCAGTGGCTAAGATGCCAAGGTTTTTATTCGGTTGTGAATGGAATGAACAGGTGTCTCTGGCAGGTTTAGTCCTGGTTGTGGGTAACCCAGCTGGGATCTCTGTTCACTTTGTACTGTGTCTTCTTGTTTAGATGCTCACTTTAGGGCAATGCCCTGCGGGCAGCTCCTGCACTTCCTGCAGAGGAACACCATCATCGCCGCAGTCTCAGGGGCGGCTGTCCTCGCAGCCACCATGCTGTTGCTGCTCGGGTTGGCCTTATACATCAGGAGGAAACAGCCATCGTGAGTGGCGCTGCCATGGCCTTCCTTCCAAGAACCCGCTGGTGTTTGAAGTCGCGCTGCCCCCAGTGCTTCCTGCTGATCCGGATTTAGGAAGAGGGCAGGAGCTGCAAGCCTGGTTGTGCTTCAACATCCCCTGACCTGCTCTGTAAAGCACACAGGACCCGGCCATGGGTTTTAAGCACAGCCTGGGTGACTCTGATGCACAGCTGGGTTTGGGGATCCCTGGGTGGCCAGGATTGCCTCTCAAGACCATTCCCATTAGGCCAGACCTGTCCTCATATTGAGGACTGTGGCTGAAAGGTTGGTAAATAGGAATATAGATTTAGAAAAGAAAGGAAAAACACAAATCTAAGAGGGTCTGGAGGGCTGAAGCCATGAAGGCGAGTGAGAGCAGGGCTGATATTCAGCTCATCCACCTTGGCACAGCCGCCCTGCTTGCTAGAATACTGAACGCCTTCCTCGAGCTGCCCACTCACTTCCTGATCTTCTCCGGGATCCTGCAAATGAAGGGTTAGTGCCTGGCACAGCCGTGGCCCTCCAGGGCTCTGCTTCAGTGGCGGTCATTTTGACTGGTCAGTGCCTGTCTACGCCGGTTAAGTATTTTGGTTAGGCCTCTAGATGAGGGGGCTCAGGCACAGGGGCACTCACCATGAGCAGGCACCAGAGAGCAAATGGTTTGCGTGACTGACGTTGTGTATGTGGAACTGCATTTTGAAATCACTGCTTCTTGCCGCATCCCCGGGGTCACGTATTCCTGACCACAGAAGGAAGAGCAGCTCCCCACAGCCCCTCCAGTCCTGCCCGACACTGCACTGAGTGCTCAGCTTGCCCCTAGAGCAATAGGCTAGAGGCGTGTGATGAGGGGGACTGTCCATCCCCACCCCTACCCACCCTCTGGCTCCAGAGGTAGCAGTGTTTAAATTTCGCCACAAGAGTGGCATTGCTTTCCCTCCATGCCAAGGCTCCTGGGTCTGGTGACCCATTCAAGCCACCTCCCCCACCCCCACCTCCAGCATCCTCTTTCTACCAAGCCTGCACCACTGGACCTACCATTTTCCCTCCATGCTCCTTGAGATATCAGCAGAGTGGTCAGAACTGTGACCCCTTCCCATAGGGACCAGTCAAACCGTGGGTGGTCTGAGATAGTTAAGAGAAACTGTGGGGAAGAGAGTTTCCCAGAGGCTCTGTGCTGCCCAGAGGCAAAAAGAATTTCACAGATGACAAACCTTCCCGATGGGCAGCAGAGTCCTCCTCACCCTTGGAATAGCTGGCCTCCACCCTTCCCAACCAGCAGGCGGCAGGAGCTCCCGCACGCTGAGCTGAGCAGTATGGTTTCTTTGCTTTGGTTTAGATCTCCTCTGGCAAAGACGACATACAATATTTTTATAATGAATGGAAAGACATGGTGGCAAAATTCTGAAGAAAAGAATTTCACAAAATATGCAAAAAAACAGACACGGTTGAAGTGCAGTTCCTCTGTCTAAGCCAGGTCGTGGGGCCGTCAAGCCAGGACTTGAAACCATGATGCGAGGACATTCTCCATGTGCACACCACAGGGAAGCAGGTCGACTTCTGGCTGGGAGACGTATTCTACTAAAGCGTCTGCTTCCCGTCCCGATCTTGAATGGACCGAGAAAAACTGCTTTGCCACAGGACACTTGTGGCAAAATGGCACCGATGGCTGGCACCAGCGAACCCGTCGGACGATGGACTTATCATTTAATAAAGCGTCGATTCATGTATTCAGTTGTTCACTGAACAGATATTAATAGACCACCTCACATGTTGACAATATCAAAATAAGATGAGGAAGCTAAGAATGACCCAGGCGTGCATTCTGCCCCGAGGAAGATCACAGTCCAGGGTGTGAACACAAATATTGCTTTTATGGGAGGTGGGAATACGGAAAGTATTATATCTGCAAAGAAACTGGTAAGAATTGTGGGAGTTCCCAGGAGGTGATTTTCCACTTGCATGACCAGGAGAAGCAATTGGGTAATTAAGAGTGTCACGAAGCAGGGTTATTTATAAAGCTGTGATCAGGGTTAAGGGAAACAGATGAAGAATGGCGAGGCACCCTGGAGTGAGCGGGAGTGGGAGCTGATACCATTAGGGGAGGGGGCAGGTACGAAAATCTGGAGAACTCAGAGCCTCTGACAGGTTGTAACCTTTGGTGGAGGAACAGGAACATACTGGAACCACCCCACAGGGAGATATCGGGGTGATAACACCCTGAACGCCAGCTCCTGGCACCCTTCAATCTCCTACAAGTGGCTTCCTTTGGCCACTTACCAGGGTGACTTTCCTCAGTGCACAGGTCCCTTTGGGGAAGACTGAGAGAAAGATTAACAGTGTACATTTTTGACAGTGTAGTAGGGCTCTTCCTCAAGGAGATCCAACCTCCCCATCATTCAGTGGTTTTGGGCTATGTAAACCAGCTCATGTCTGGGAAATAATTGAGGGACTGTTAATCTGTTTTGGTAATTCAAGTTAGACTTCTAATCCTACAACACAGAACTCCTCTACTTGCACAGATCAAGTAGGAATTTAGTAGATTGCTTATCTATTTCTTTTCTAGGGATATCATGATCAACTAGCCAGTGTCAAAGGTCCCTGAGAGTCTGATATTCTGGTCAATGTTTTGACACCACTGTTCCTAACGGCAACCATATCCGCCTCGCCTTTGACAAGAAGTATGGCCACTTAGACCTTACCATCCTGGGATCCAACTCTCTGCATTGCATCTTGGGAGCCCGGTTTGATGGTAGCAGTTCCCATAGTCATTTCTGACCTGCAGAAAAGAATGACTCTACAGGGCTCTCAAGGATTCTGGAGCCTTTCTCACAAATGCATTTCCTATAGTCATGATAAAAGCTGTATTGTCTGGACCCTTCCAGGGTGGGTGAGCAGGTCTTACATGATAATCCACACTAATATTTCAGACTCCTTAAGCCTTTGGGTCTGTTCCTCCACAGTATAAGAAGACAGTTCTGGCATTTCAACTTCATTTACTGTAGGTTATCTTTGGACCCACGTTTCAGCTAACCAACCAAATGGAGCCCTTTCTATCCCCTCAGACAAAACGATGATCCAGAACCTCTGCTCTGTGGGCTCATACCAATAAATTCAGCCCCATACAACGCTGCATTCCTTCCATCATTACTTCAACCCTTCTATCTATGTCTATGCACATTCCTCACACTTACATCTGTATACGTTAGGAAAATAATGCAATTCTTTCAGCGTGTAGTGTACCTTTTGTTGTTTGGGTCACTTTGTTCCTCACTCTTTGGGACCTGCTGGAACTTGAGTGTAGTTACGGGTCTAGAAACAAAAAAGAGTGGTACAAGTGCATCCTCGGAGAACTGGTGGGGTCTTGCTACAGGACCTTAGGCGAGGACATTACAGGGTTCCACAGAAAAATCAGGGTTAACCTACTCAGACAGGGTGGAAAGGCTACTTCTATCGGCAAACAAGACTCAGCAGAATTTAGGGATTTGATACCCGCAGCTTCACTGGGATGTTCCCATACGTCCCTGTTTCTGTTTTTAGGATCTCATTTCTCTTCAATCAGTTCTCTTATTTTAACACAAGACCAATGTGCAAGCGCACTGAAGTTCAGTCACTTTGGGTTTGGTTTCCAGAAATCTCAGCCCTGCAGCTACAGGAGATAAGGATTTCTTTCAGGACAGACATAAAAGTGTGTGTGTGTGTTTTTTTTTTTTGAGACTGAGACTTGCTCTCTTCAGTGGCATGATGTTAGCTCACTGCAACCTCCGCCTCCCAGGTCCAAGCGATTCTCCTGTCTCAGCCTCCCGAGTAGCTGGGATGACAGACATGCACCATGACATCCGGTTAATTTTGTATTGTTAGTAGAGACAGGGTTTCTCCATGTTGGTCGGGCTGGTCTCAGACTCCCAATCTCAGGTGATCTGCCCACCTCAGTCTCCCAAAGTGCTGGGATCACAGGCATGAGCCGCTGCACCCAGCCTTCCTTTCTTTTTAAGGCTGAATAATTTTCTGTCGTATGTATATACCATATTTTCTTTATCCGTTTATCTGTTGTTGCACACTTGAGTTGCCTTCATGTCTTGGCTGTTGTAAATAATGCTGCAGTGAATCTGGGTGTGCAAATATCTCCAAGATCCTGTTTTCCATTCTTTAGGATATGTATCCCGAAGTGGGATGTGGGCTCATATGGTAAATCTATTTGCAGTTTTTGGAGGAGCCTCCATATTGCTTCTGTAGCAGCTACACTGTGCTACAATCCCACCAGTGTGTGCAGCCTTCCCGTTTCTTCACATCCTTACTAACACTTGTTATTACATATGTGCTTGTTTTAAACATCAGGACTGGGTGCTGAATTTTGTTCAAGGTCCTTTCAGCATCCGTGGAACTAATCATATGATTTGTTTCCTTAAGTCTAATAACTATATATATATAATAATAATGAACTTCCTCATGACAAACCATCCTGCATTTTTAGAATGAATTCTACTTGGTCATACTGGGGCTTGGAGAGTCCAGTCACTGCCAGAGTCTTGGCCCTGGGCCCAGCTTTTTTCAGCACATCTGTGCTGTCACTCAGACTGGCAGGGGACGGGGAAGGAGCCTTGGGGTTCCTTTAGACACCAAGGAAGCAGCAGGTCCTGGTATAGATATGTAGACTGAGCCATGATTTATAACTTTCAGTTGTTGATACATATGATGGGTGTTCCTCCATTCGTATTCCTTTTCAATTTTTAAAAATTGTTATAGAATACGTATAACATAAGCTTTACCATCTTAACCATTTTTAAGGGCACAGTTCAGTGGTGTTAAGTACATTCGTGACGTTGTGCATCCATCACCAGCATTCATCTCCAGAACTCTTTTCATCTTATAAAACCAATACTCTATACCCATTAAGTAATAACCATCCGTTCCCCTTCTGCACCCCCTCGCAACCGCTGTTCTACTTTCTGTCTGCTTTTGACTACTGTAAATAGCTCCCATAAGCGGGATCATAGAGTATTCGTCTTTTTGTTACTGACATTTCATTTTGCATGATGTCCTCAAGGTTCACCCATGTTGTAGCGTATGTCAGAATGTCCCTCCTTTCTGAAGCCAAATCATATCCCATTGTAGGTATCCGCCACGTTTTGTTTACTCACTTACCCTTGATGGGTTGCTTCCACATTTTAGCCTTGTGAATGATGCTGTTACGAATGTGGATGTACAGGTAATTCTTTGAGACCCTGCTTTCAGTTACTTTGGGTGTATACTCAGAAGTGAAATTGCTGGATTCTATGGTCGTTTTGGTTTTAATTTCCTGAGGAACCGCCATGCTGTTTTCCATGATGGCAGTAGCATTCTACATTCCCAGCAACAGCACACAGGGGTTCCAGTTTCTCCACATCCTCGCCAACACATGTTATTTTCTGTTTTTCTTTTTTAATTGTTTAAAATTTTATTTATTTATTTATTTATTTATTTTTGAGAGAACGTCTTGCTCTGTAGCCCAGGCTAGAGTGCAGTGGCACGATCTTGGCTCACTGCAACCTCTGCCCCCTGTGTTTAGGTGATTTTCCTGCCTCAGCATCCTGACTAGCTGGAATTCCAGGCATGTGCCACTGCACCTGGCTAATTTTTTGTGTTTTTTATTAGAGATAGAGTTTCACCATGTTGGCCAGGCTGGTCTTGAACTCCTGACCTCAGATATTCCGCCTGCCTCAGCCTCCCAAATTGCTAGGATTAAAGGCGTGAGCCACTACACCCGGCTTATTTTCTGTTTTTTTTTTTTTTTTTTTTTTTTTTTTTTGTGACAGTAGCCATCCTAATGGGTAAGAGGCGGTATTTCACTGAAGGTTTGATTTGCAATTCCCTAATGATTATGGATGTTGAGTATCTTTTCATGCACGATCAGCCATTTGCATATCTTCTTTGGAAAAATGTCTATTGAAGTCCTTAGCCCATTTTTGAACTGGTTATTTGTATTTTTGTTGTTGGGTGTCAGGTGCTCTCTCTCTAGTCTGGGCATCATTCCCTTACCAGATAAAGTATTTGCAAATGTTTTCTCCTGTTCTGGGTGGGATACCTTTTTACTCTGTTGACGCTGTCTTTTGATGCACAAATTTTTTAAATTTTCATGAAGTCCAATTTGTCTATATTTTCTTTGTGTCTTTGGTATCAGACCCAAGAAATAATTTCTGAATCCAACGTCGTGAAGTTTCTGCCCTATGTTTTTTTATGAAAGTTTTATAGTTTTAGGTATTACATTTAGGTCTTTGGCCCATTTGGAGTTAATTTTTGTATATGGTGTTGGATAAGGATCTAACTTTATTCTGTCTTTAGTTTTCCTTCAGGAGGAATCAGGACAACATTCTTTTTCTTTTTCTTTTCTTAAAGATGGAGTCTCACTCTGTCATCCAGGCTGGAGTGCAGCTGTGCCATCTTGGCTCATTGCAACCCCCACCTCCCAGGTTTAAGCGATTCTCCTGTCTCTGCCTCCCGAGTAGCTGGGACTATAGGTGCGCACCACCATGGCCAGGAGTCTTGGCTAACAAGACAGGTTTAGCAGGGTGGTTCTGGCTCAGAGTCCCTCATGAAGTTGCAGTCAAGATTCTTCCAGATTCATTCTCTCCCTCAAGACCTAGCTACTGATCCCTCCCACCCAGTCACAGGCACTGTGCCGGAAGCTAGCGAGCTCAGTGAGGCATTCTTGTCCTCCAAGAGCTCACAACTCTTAGGAGAGACAGCTAATCAATAA